TCGCACTCGCATCCTCAACGGTAGTACTATCCCCCTTGAACCTGCGCTCGCTCGTCCTCCGACCGTGCTCGCGTATCCGACTCATCCGTTGCATGCGTCAACACCAATCGTATATATTCTTCTGATCGTTTTCATCTGATCGATGACTCTCGAGGAATATTGGAATATTGGAGAGAAGAAGATAAGAAAGAAACGGCAAAGGAAAGCGTCGGAACGCGAGGCCTAACGTATCCGTGGATATTATAGGTGATGAGGAGCCGAGAGGAGATGTTGCTCGATAAGAGTCGGTGTCCGCGGAAAGCTGGAGAACAGTTACCGGCTTCGTGACGGCGATGTAACTGCAATTATCCGCGTATCCTTATCGGGACCCTCGTTCACTGTCGACGATTGGCTCCGACAGTTTGACTCCCGTCTTACGAACGTCTTCACGACCGATACCTGTTCTTGCGATACGCGGGTGACTCTTCGAAATAGGTAGATTTTGGATAAGGATACTGTTGTACATTGAACGTGTTTCAAATATATACACGTTGAAGATTACTTATTCTTTCCCGTGTAGACGGCTCTTACGGTTTCGTAGGATAGAGTTTCACGCAGGGCTCCATAGGGGAACTTAATTGTTCTAGCGATTTCATTAGCAAGAAGCAGAAACCGGTGGAAAGAGTACAACTATGGTACGGTTTTTCTTTCGACCATTTTTGTTTCAACTTCGTAAGAATGAGTGCTAGGTTTCCGAAGCTTCTCTTCTGTTTCCTGGTTATTTTTCACACCGTCGAAGGGCTCCTCGAACAGACGCCTTGGCGTCGGTGCAATTCCGTCCATGGCGCGAATGCCGCCGCGTTCAGTTAGTTGTGTGGGAACGTGTTAAATTTTTTTTTTTTTTCTTCTTTGGTGGTGATCATTCCCAAGGCAAGTTTCGAAGAATTAGGCGCATTATCATTACGAAGTATTTACGATACTTTGATGCCTCGTTATCGGGAACGTGTCGTACAGTCGGCGTAAAATCGTGTGTCGCGTGCAAGCTGAATAACGAATCAGTGCGGCGGAGGAAGTTCCGGACGACATCCGACTTTCTTTTCCGGACGATGAATATCGAAATTCTCGATGAGGCGCGCATCACATCCGGTGTCAATGAAAGTACGGTTATATTTTCTTTTTGTACGTGCGTACGTAGGGAGGATAGTAGCATCGCGATACGATATTCGCTACAATCCTAGGGCTCAATGTGCTGGTGGACATTTCTTAATACTTAATATGATTATAAATTAGATGGGAACGTTCCTCCGTTTGTAACAATGTTCAACGTTCGATTATGCATCATTGAAAAATTTCATTTTTTACACGATATAGTATATTTAATTTAATATCGATTAAAATTGTTAATTATTTTCCTAACATCGAGAAAATTGTTGTAAAATTTAACATATTTATATCGGTGGTCGTTTCATAAATCTTTTCTTCATTCAAATAAATTATCGCGTCATTCTAATGGAATCGTCCATTTCCAACATACAAACTTGATACGTCGCTTATTATAAAGCCATTTGCATAATTCCCTGCCGTATCTGAATTAATTTATCGATATCGTTCTCGTCGACAAATCAACTTCACGGATACGTCGATACGTCGAAGGCTTATGAAACGACCGTGTGGAGAATGCTAACAGCGAGAAAATAGCTCGCATAATTGCGTGCCAGGTGCACTAAAAAGATTTAACCAAATCAGTCGACGAGGTAAAATCGAGGCTACTTATGGTAAACGTGCGCGCGCGTAAGCACACTCGGAGATCCTAGTACAGTTGTTAACGACAATCAGAACGATGTTTTGCCACGGCTGGCTCGTTGGGAAGAGTTTCAAGCAATTAACTCTTCTTTCGACTTGGTATCGCGAGTAGAACGTTTCTACGGACACCTGTCATCCTCAGGATAGGATCGAGCAGTACTTAACATAGCAGGTTTTTGGTACTTAATATGCTAAGAACGATTATTTCAATTATTACTTTCGTTATTCCACGATATTAATAAATGCGAATAGGCTCAGGGAGCGGTTTTTATTATTTTTTTTTTCTTTCTTTTTTTTTTTTTTTTTTTTTTT